ATTGAAGATGCAGGACAACAACCTAGCAGTGCATTACAATAGTCCAGTCTAGATGTCATGAATGCATGAACTAGCTTTTCTGCATCTGAAACAGGTAACATGTTTCGTAGCTTGGCAATGTTTCTAAGATGGAAGAATGCTGTTTTTGTAACATGGGAAATATGATTTTCAAAAGACAAGTTACTACCCAGATTTTTGACTGTAGAGGAAGTAACAGTACGCCCGTCTAGTTGCAAATTGTAATCCAAGAGATTCTGTGAACTGCTTTTTGGTCCAATAAGTAATATCTCTGTCTTATCCAAATTCAATAGGAGAAAATTATTGGTCATTCAATCTTTTAAATTTTTAATACACTCTGTTAGATTAGCTTAGATAATTTAGAAGTTTCATCTGGTCTTGTTGAGATATATAGTTGAGTATCATCAGCATAACAGTGGAGACTAATTCCGTATTTTCTAATAATATTACCAAGGGGTAATATTTATATTGAAAATAGCAGAGGACCTAGGATAGATCCTTGTGGCACTCCATACTTTACTGGTGATAATTGAGATGACTCCCCGTTTAAATAAACAAAGTGGTAACGATCGGACAGGTAGGATCTAAACCATCTTAAAGCCTGTCCTTGAATACCTGTATAGTTTTGTAATCGATCTATGAGTATGTCATTATCTATAGTGTCGAACGCAGCACTAAGATCAAGTAAAACTAGCAATGAGATGCAGAATTGATCTGATGCAAGAAGCAAGTAATTTGTAATTTTAACAAGTGCAGTTTCATCCACTGTACTGTAAGATCTCTTTACAGCAGTGTAATGAAAATAAAATTTTCTTAAAACTTATTGTTGAATTTCACTGTATCTGCTATATTTAACATGTTGTATACTGTAATAGACATTGAGCTGTAAAATGATTCCTGATTGCCAAAAGAAGGTTTTTGCAACAGTGTTATGAATTGATCTCACTAGTGTGTAAGACAGTATGTGCGTTTTTGAGGGGTTGTGTGTCATGTCCGAGGGAAAAGTTTGTTTTTTCAGCAAGATTGAATGGTTTTGAGTGGAGAGCTTCATTTTGACCTGAAATTAGGAAGTGTGGGAAATTGGGTGAGAAGTTATGGATTTGTGTTTAGAGTTTCGAGAAAAGGAGGCACATTTTCAAGAAATGTTTTTAAGTAATCGAGAAAAACTGTAATAGGTGTTCCTGCTGCTGCTGTTGACGCCACACAATCATCATAGACTGCACGGTATGCAGGCTAGTAGTTCAGCATCAGGACATGAGCTCCAGGCTACTACGATTGTGGCTGGGACTTTGAAGGGCACTAGAAAGACAGAAATAAAAGAGCTAGAAAGACTAATTAAATTGATTAATTAGTTAATTACCTTTTATTATCTGCAGTATTGTGATCAGCTAGAGTTCTATTTTATAACACAATCAGGCATGCTGGAGTTAAGGGAACATGTTAATGTACAACAGAAATGATAATGATTAGAAAATGATTGTGAATCCTGGCCCTATTTTTGTAAGTATATATCATGTATTATCTACAAGTATTGTACATGAAAACAGTTTGGTTTTATTGTGTTTTGTGTGCAATATACACACAAGTATAACATAAACAACTTTGTTAACACTGACAACTTCAAATGTTTTTTAAAGAGGTCACATTCATATACATTTAAGTTTGAATATAGGAAAATAAATCAAAGTTCTCGACATTTCTACCTTTGATTATACATTACCTAAATATCTGTTGAACAGTATGTAATAATGTTTATTTTATTTTAAGTTATGAAGTTCCTACATCTCTATTTCAATGAATCTAGATGAGTATAATGCTTATATTCCAAAGATGTACACTTTTATGTTAAAATATATATTTATTTGGAATTTATAAAAGTCAAAAAGTAATACACAATGATGAAATACTACAGATGATGAAAACATTGAAATAGTGCAGGCTATCTATTCAACATAATACATTATCGTTTATCTGAAAATGAGTTCCATTCATATTGTGTGTGTTCCTTCTGTTGATATTGATATTTGATTTTATATATATTGATATTTCTACAGAATAGATTGTGACTTGTGTAAAAAGTTATATAATGTTTTTAAATAAGGGATTTTTTAAACTTGGCTAATGTCAAAAAATGAAAAATGATGCTTTGTAAATTATATATATCAATAAATTACTGTATCAATAAAGGTGGTTTAAAAGCAGAACAATTTCCCTTAGCTATTTTTTGTGTGGCATTTTCCTTGAGCAAATAAACATCATGTGAACCATTTTAGGGAGATTTATAATTTAGTTAAATTAAGTTCAGTTGCCTCTGAATTCCTATCTGGTCTATTTTGTGTGGTTTCCTCTTGCTGAACGTCCACAGTGCAAACATCAAGATGCTGATGAGCTTTCATTTCCATTGCAGCCATTATTTCCTCTTTCTTCTGCTGTGAAGCCATGTCTTTCTCTTGCTTTTTCCTTTGTTTGGCGATCCTCTCCTCTTTCTTCATCTTCCAGAAGTATATCAGGTTTTTCTCAGGGTAGGTGACGTTAGCAAGGGGCAGTTTATAAATGTTTTTTATCTCCGTAGTGATCAAAAGGAAAGTGAGGGCAGAGAGACAGAAGGGCCAGGTGCATGCTGGGAGTCCAAACTGTTCAAATATCATGTAAAACATGTAAAACCATTTAAAACCACACATGTTTGTATATTTCATGTTCTGGGTTTATGATACCTACAGTAGACATCACATTTGCGATTGCAGAGCCAAGATATGCACAGAAGAATGCTATGGGAAAACAAGACTGTAATTCAGTCATTTGCTCATAAATGTGTAATGATAAATGTGCAATAATAGGAAATTGTTATTACATAATTAGGAAGGAGAGAAAATAGCTGGTATGAACCTACCACAGGCCACAGCCAGAAGATGTGTCTGCCATGTGAGAGCGTAGAACATCCCACCAATGGCAATGCAGGCCAAAACACAGTTATAACCCCACAGGCCAAAGTAGATGTTCTGGAACGGCGCAGCAAGAGCAAGACCTGGAAATCACAATAAAGGCGACTTAATCATGAGTTTTAGAGATGTCTGATGTTGGTTTTATTTATAATTAAATATTCAAATGTGATCTCTTACCTGACACCATACCAACTGCTGATCCAATAGTTGCATGTGCAAATGTTATGGGTGAGGAGATAAATAAGGCGATCATGAATATTCCTCCTGTCCAAGCATTGTCACACCCATATACCTGTCCAATACCCACAGGGATTGAGCGGAAGAGCTGTAAAGAAAAACAAAAAGTAAAAAGTCTGGAATAATTATGTTTTTTTTAAGAACACCAAGGCTACATTATTTTTCTTTTTGATTAAAAATACAGTAAAAACAGCCTTTTTGAGAATAATTGCTGAAGGCTCATGTGACGTGCATAAGAGACTTCTTTAAAACAAATTTTTATTATGATATATTTAATGTAACTTTTATGAGATTTAACCTGCCTAATATGACTTTAAACTGGGTGACATTCAATTTGAGCAGAACTTTTTTCATTGTCTGCTAGATTGAATTTTATAGTGTCAGTTACAGTATCTCGTGATAAACCTGCTCTCTTCAGTGTTATGTGGCATCAATCTAGAATATTCTTAAACAGAACTATTGCACAATCACCTTCTCTTGTTCTGGGGAGTGGCTGCTTATCAGGATGTAAATTTGGGACAGCTTCCCCTTTTGAAATCTTTGATTTTGGCCTCATTTTCACTTGTTAACTCTTACCTTAGGATAATCCAGCTCAGACCATGTCAAGTTATGCATGGATGTGCGTGGCTGGAAGAGAACCTGAGGGAAGTGGTGATTGTAGTGGCCTGTAGCCACCATATGGAGACACACTAGTATGTTAAATGGCAGGGTGAAAACAGGAAGGTCCCACCGACTGTTGATGGAAGCCAAGGCACTGGACACTATGGGACTGGAGAAAACAGCACTATTAGGATTATAGAATTCAGCACTGAGCCTAAATTAGTGGTTCATAACTGATGGGTAACTGATAGGAAAATAATTATTCAAATAATAAAATGCAACTATATAATCTATGGAAAGTAAAAGATATATTGCTTTAATGACATTTTTGTCTACTTCTGTATGATAAACCATTTTGGTACTGTGTTGGATCACCACTAGATCTAATGAAAAAGTCTAAAGTAAGCCTAAAGGTAAAAGCAAAACCGATTGAGAATCAGTGGCTCTAAAAGATCATCACTAAACTGTGAAATGTGCCCTGTGTAAAATGCCAACCAGAATGACTAACTAATATTTAGGTAGATACAATCAGATTTTCAAGTCATTTTGTCCACACACAACCCCATGAGGAAAAAAAAAATCTAAAAATAGCTGTTCAATTTTTTACATTCTTCAGTAACTCAATCATATGACTACATATGTGATACATTCCATGTGAGTGTGTCACTTTTTTGAAGAATCTAAATTCCTCACATTTTAATCCTTCCTTATGGCTACAGTACACTAATAAAATCTGAGCATATATTAAACCACGAGGTATCATAGTCTTGCCAAATTGCAAATGGTTTCAGAGAAAACTGCAATGATGAAGACCTCATAGTCGAAATGTTGTATGAGTTTTAATACATTTCTTTCGAGCAGCTGTATCAGTGTGCGGACATTTCATTTGTCTTTTGCTTATCTTTGCCCCTTTTTCTTGTCCCGCACCTGAGTTGGGTTTGTGGGATGTGCACCCCTTTTTGTATTTTTGATATAGAGAAAAACTGGGCATCATACACAAAATGACTGATGACACACTACCAGACTATCTAGTCATTCCAAACACAACAAACTCATGCAGAAACATACGTCTCATTGATAGGAGACGCGTGACAAATGAAAACAACGTGTTCACAAATCTGTTCAAAATATCAAATATGTTTGATATCCATCAACTGGATGGATTCATAGACTAAAGCTAAAAGATCAGAGTCTGTCGATTATACACTACGTGATTTTCTGTGAAATCTACCAGCTATGACCACCCAGTATCTGCAGACTGGCATCGACTAATCAAGACTGCAATTGATTAAGGGGAAAACAATTCTTATAGTGTATTACAGTCTTCAGTTATTTCTTTCTTTCCTTTTTTAAATCCAAATCCAAATGAATGAACTGAAGAACCAAGAGATGAACTCACCATGCCATTGACATGAAAATGTTGGGAAGAAGCAGCCACCAATACCAATCTCCTGCATTTGAGAAAACCGCCATCAGGAGACCAACTAAGATGCCGTTATATCCGTACAGGCCGTTTGCGATTGCACCTCTGAGGGGAATACAGTATAACACTGAAACCTTGCGCAAATATTTAGAGCATCATAATGTAAATGTATCACCTAAATACCTGTTCTGACCAATGATGAGGGCAGAAATCGTAGCAAACAAAGTGCCAACAAAACCATTGAGTGCCCACCAACGGTTCTGCAGGATCAGTCCAGCAAAGATGATCAGTCCACTGAGAGGGTTGTTCACAAACATCACCTGAGCAGCTCCCCGCAGCACCCAGTCCAGAATCTGGAGCAAGATAAATTGCCCTGAACAGGGTAAACATGTGAGAGAACATAGTCGGTACACAGAAAATCTCCTTAGAAGTTATACAATACTGTATTTACATTATGAAATAATGTGACTGCTACTACAGTACTGCTACTAATCTGCATATCTCTGAGTGTGTGTTTTGGAGTTAACAAAGGCCATTAAAAAAGATTACACTATATGTCAATAGACTGCATATATTAATTTTAGTAAGAGCTTATTGTTTTTCAGTCGGGTGTGGATCACTCATTATCCAACTTGCTAGAGCATGTGTATTAAAAAAGTGGTGAGTAAATCAACTAAATGAGCACATCTAACAGATTCCCACTGGTTTACAGGTAACAGAACAGTTTTAGAATGATGCCAGTGTTAACAATATAACTGTTGTTCAGTCATCTTTGTAGTGAAAGAAACAGAAATGTTTAGCGGGGTTATAGAACAGGACTTTTCCCTACCTGAATATGATTACCTCATTGATCATTTTCTAAATTACTCATGTGCAAACACTCCCCTACTAACTCTTGTACCTTTCATCCATTCACCGAACGCAGCCATGTCTCCAGCAATGTAAGAAACCCATTGCATGAGCTTTGCTTTAAACTTCTGATGTGAATTTGGCCTCTCGGGTCCCTGTGGCTGCTGTTTCTTCTGCTCTGTAGTTTCACAGATTGGATTTGCCATGAGTGGTTGTAGCTCCTGTAAATGTTCACAGATTTCAATGGTGTAATAAAGGTGCTGATCAAAACCAGGCTCAGGACTGATGTTCTTTGCAGGGGGTGTTTACGTTCCTTTGGTGCAAACAGGACCGGATCTTCCTTTTCAAAAGACAAAAACAGGAAACCCCTCACCTTTGTGTTTTGAGTGCTGGGATACTGTGAAGTAGAAGTTCTGCAGAGATTCAGTGGGCCACCCTTCAAAATAAAGAACTAAATATTTTATTTATTATTTCATTCCATTTAATTAAGCAAGTTTAGATACCAACATACTAAATTAGACAGAAATGTACTGATTCTGAGATTGTGAGAGAGAAAGGAGCAGATGTACCTTAGTGAGTTGTGTTCCAGGCATATATGAGGCCAGTTATAGAAGCAAAGAGGTCGGTCCATAAAGTCGCAGCTCTGATGGTTTTATAGTGCTGGGCTGCACGAGTTGCTCCACCTCTGTTCATGAAGCGCTGATGCAAATTAGTGATTAAGCTCGCTCTCATTCCCTCTGCATTCCTTTGACGTACAGTTTGGTCCTTTCTGAGTTGCTTGAGCAGGTTTCTGTCACTAATTTAGCTTTCATTACACTCTGATTAGCTGTTAAAGCCATAAAAATTATACTTTATGGCTTTAGAGTTATGAGAAATGCATTGGGTCTGATCAATATAAACTGTTGATATTTTTTATTAGCTATTCCTTAATAACTAAAACAAAGTTTAAATACCTGATCACACAAATATGGATTAACTCATTAGTACTTGCAGCAAATCACAGCTTGCCAATCAGCTGAGACTTGCTGAGCACAAAAGGACCTCTGTTGTTCAGACCACTGGCAGTTCTTTTCACAAGTGCATTTGTGAGACGTAACTGTGTCAGACAGGAGGCCTGCAACACAGCTCTCTTCAGATTTGAGTTACTCTACTGTTCAAAACGTTTTTGAAAGAGGTCTCTTGTGCTCACTAAGGCTGCATTTATTTGTAAAAATGCAGTAAAAACACCTCTGTTAAGGTTTATTATTACAATTCATAATGACCATTTTCTTTTTACAGTTTAATTTTATGCAATTTTCAGGATTTCTGTGATGGCAAAGCTGAATTTTCAGCCGCCATTACTTCAGTCTCATTTTCCTTCAGAAATCATTCTGACATGCTGATTTGAAACATTTATTATTGTTTATCAATGAAAATAGTTGTGCTGCTTAATATTTTTGTGGAAACTGATTTTTTTAACATTTATTTTTAAACAGAAATATTTTATGACAATGTAAAAGTCTTTACTGACTTTATTGCTCAATAAATTTATTAATTTCACAATAAATAAATAAATAAAATCTTATTGACACATGTCTTTTGAACAGTAGTGTATCTGATTTCTTAAGAGCTGATACTGATTTGATCCAAGTTTCAGTGATGGCCAGTGTTGAAATGGGCAGGTAAGTAAATGTGAAAGAACTGTTAGTGGAAAGATGTTTGTCATGAGAAAAACACAATATGAAGCTTTTTTTATTTAGTTATGCCTAATTTGAAATATAACAACTGTGATTGGTATTACAGTTTTTCTCGACTGCTAAAACACTATAACCAGGCTTTTGAAGTATAATTTCAAAACCATAATGCCATTTTTCAAAAAGCACGAGGAGGAGGAGGAGGAGGAGGAGGAGGGGGGGGGAGAGGAAGAGGACATGGTGAAGGAGGAGGGAGAGGACGTGGTGAAGGAGAAGGAGAAGGAGGAGGAGGAGGGAGAAGAAGGACAAGGAGACAAGCAGTCTCAGATGAAATTCGAGCCACTTTAGTTGACCATGTCCTTGTCCATGGTATGACTACGAGGGAGGCTGGGCAACGAGTATAGCCAAATTTGAGTCGCTTCACCGTCGCCTCCATCATCAGAACCTTCAGGGAGGAAAACAGGTAGGTGTACTTACAGTAAGACTGCTCTGTACAGTAACTTTAGAGTGCATACACTGTTGCACTATGCTACTGTAATAAAGAAATGCATCAAATTGCCTCGCATACAGATAGAGTTTCAGTATGTTTCCATTTTTTTCCTGTAAAAAGGATGTGTGACAGTTACAGTAATGAGTGCTTCTATTTTTGTAGGACACAGAGATGACCACCTGGTGGAGGCAGGCTAAGGCTTTTGTCGGAGGAGCAAGAGAGGGAGCTTGTAAACATGGTCATTGCCAATAATGTAATC